GGGGCCCTCTTGGGCCATCTTGAGAACACCTTGGGGTCTGCATCGGCCCTTGGGGCTCGGAGCGAAGCCGATCGACACGTCTTGGGGTCCTCATATGGGGTCTCGTGCCGATCCTGGAAGCACCCTGGGCGGTCAAATCAGGTCATCCCGGGCGGCTGGAAGGCCAGACTCCCGCTGACGTCCGCCGGGCTCTGCCAGGAGGTCCGTCCGTGACCAGGGCCAGATTTTGAGGGGGTGCCCCCCTGGCCCCTCCCCCCAGGGGGATGCCCGGATCTCTTCCTGGAGTTCGGCCTACGGGGCACGTTGTCAGGCTCGGGGGCCATCAAACACAGATGCAATGCGTCAGGACTTCTGGCGCCGCGCATTGACTACATCACATCGTCAGGTGTCGGGGTGCTGAACCGAAACCCCATTAAGGTCGGGACCCCGGGAACAGTAGGAGCAGAACCGCTTCCCAGACACGGGTCCGCTCAGAGTTAGTCCCACGATTCCACCAGCACGCCGACAACTTCTGCCGAGGCGCGCTGGCTGGGCCGCGGGGGCAAGTGGACCTCCTGGGGTCAGCAGGAAGTTCGTTGACTTACTGGGTGGAGAGAAACTGGAGGTACAGAAGCGCGCGCCTTTCCACCACCCTTTGGGCCTGTGGTGGCAGTTCCGAGGCCGCTGAGGGTCTGAGGGTCCCTTCAGGGCCACCTGTTTGTCGAATATACCCCCACCACGGAGCGCCCAAGCCTGAGCCAGCCCCTCGACTCCCGGAGCACACCTCTCAGAAGCACGCATCGAAGCCCCGCGCACCAGGAGCCACAAGCTGAGCCCGCCCACCCTCCGTCCCAAAACGTCCGACGATGAGCTGTTTTCAACGCGCGGCCCCAGAAGTCTTCACACCTCCCCGGGGCAAGTCTTCGCCCCGAACTCGTTTTTGATGGCCCCTAGGCTCAACAAATGCCCTTCAGGGCTGAAATCGACGAGAAAACACCAGTTGAACAGAACATGTCGTCGGAGATCTGGGGAGGCCAAGGCGCAAAGTCATTTTTTGGGCGGGCGCCACTGCCCCGTGAGCCTCGCCTCAGGAGCCGCCGCTCCGCGCCGTGGGCGCACCCAGGGGCGCGCGCGAGGACATGATGCCTCGGTGCCCGACCGCCTCGGCCAGCGCGGGCGCTGGCGGTGCACCGTCCTGGGGGGCACGGACGTTGGCGGTCATGGTCAGCGCCGTGGTCTGCATCCTCGCCACGACTGCGGTGGCGACCCTTGCCATGGTGGCCGCCGCGGAGGCCGTCGCCTCGTGGCCCGCCCCTGGCACGCCGGCATGAGTCCTCGCGAGAGTCTCCCACCCGATTGCGACCGGCAGCGGCAGCGGCCCAGGGGCGGACCAGGCCCTCTGCGGTGGCCGCCACCTCCCAGCAGCGGCGGCGGGCCCCGGCGCCAGCGGCCCCCATGGCAGCGCGGCCGCGGGTCGCGGCGGCGGTGCCCTCGGCACTGGCGACGGTGGGGCACCGGCCGCTGGCTGTCGCGCTGGCAGCGGTGGTGTCTGCGACAGGCCGCGGAGCGCCGCGCCTGGCAGCGGCTGCGGGGACGGCGTCCGCGGTCTCAGGGAGGGCCGTGGGGAGGCTTCGACGGCGGCTGTCTGATGAGCAAAGGGGGCCTGCCCCAGCACCTGCTGCGTCCAAGGCGGAGCGGAGTGCGGCGGCGCCAGCGGCGCGGCAAACGCGCGGGTGGCGCGCGGCCGATCAGACGGTGCTGGTTCGGCGGGCACGAGTACAGGCACCGTGGTCGTCGGCGTCGCGACGCCTGCCGCGTCCCGCGCGCGAGGCGGCAGCGGCCGGTGAGCAGCAGCAAGGCCAGACGAGGGTGGATCCAGCCAGAAGTCTCTGTGGCCATAGGTCGAGGGCCCGCCGCAGGCGGGAGCCTCCACGGCAGGCTGTGGCCGTGGCTCCTGCGGTGGGCGGCAGCTGCGCTCCTCCTCGCACAGCTCTGCCAGGCGGGCCGCGAAGGCCTCGGGCGGCGCGCCGGGCCGCGGGAATTTCAGCGCCAGGCAACTGCCCCCTTTTAGCGTCATCACCACCAGCCCGGGGGGCGGTCGCCCCTCGAGTCGTCCGCGCAAGGCGCGCCCCGCATTCTCGCCGCAGGCCACCGCCTCGATGTCGGCCAGCCGAACCTCGTGCGCCTCCCCCGCCAGTGCCACGTGCATCGTCCAGGGGTCGGCGGCCAGGCGTACGTCCACCGGAACCACATTCCCATCGCTCGAGACCGCCTGCGCCCGCGTTCCCTTGACCATCTCCGCGATCCACCCCGCCATGCTCTGCGCGGCTGCGAGGCTAAGGGCATCGCCATCGCCGCTCGAGTAGTTCTTGCAGAGCTCGGCGCACAGCCGCCGCTGCTGGCCCTGGCGCGCAGACGCGGCCCGCGCGGCCGGGAAAGCCGCCGCCCGCGCGTCCTCTGCTGCGCCGACGGAGGCAGGCTTGGCGACGGTGGTGGCCTCGCTGCTGACTGCGGCCACGGA